CTGTTAACTGACAAGTTGGTGGTTGAAACCCACCAGCTGCTCTGTGTGAGAAAGATGTGGCAGTCTGCTCTGGTAAAGATTACAGCCTTGAAAACTCTATGTGGTTGCTATGAGTCAGAATTGACTGGATAGCGATGGATTTGTTTGTTTGTTTTTGGTTTTACATATCATCTGGCTCATATTTCTCCTTACAGAGAAAATGGTACTGAGGCCAGGGAATCTTCAAGTATTTGTCCAAAGTCATACAATATTTGATTACCAGCTCCTATTGGGATCAGGACAGGAAAATGATACGTACTTAAAAAAAAAAAAAAAAAGAAGAAGAAGAAAAGAAAGAAAGAAAATGAAGGTATGATGAAGCCCTATGTACAAAGTGATATGATTTGGCCTGAAGCTTAAGCAAGACCACAGCTGGGTGCTTCATAACAACAGTTCTATTTTCACTTGAATTTTGGGCAAATTATGGTGATATTTATGCAATTTAAGATGGGTTCATTTTAGGACAGGGTTTTGTAGAACCCAAAGTTAATCTCAATTCCCTCTCTTTTCTCTTGTTTTCTCCCTCTCCCCTCCCCAGCCGAAGATAATTCAAGCTTTCACCCCTTGCCCTCTCTCCCCACTCCCAAAGAGAAAGAATAAACCAAACCAAGACAAATAAAACAGTGAATTACAGTTATCAGGATGATCAGTATATTTCAGATGAATTCTTATTTTAATTTCTCCTGGTTCTAATTATGAGGAAAATTGTTTCATACTACTGTTTCCTTTTAAAGTCAGGACTTCTTTTAAATTATGTATTTCTTAGAAATATATGTTGTTGTTGTTGTTGTTGTTGTGTGCCATCAAGTCGGACCCGATTCATAGCGACCCCTCCTTGGGTTTCCAAGGCAGTATCACTACGGAAGTAGATTGCCCCATCTTCCTTCCGAGGAGTGGCTGGTGGGTTTGAACCGTCAGCCTTCTGGTTAGCAGTCAAGTGCCTTAGCCACTATGCTACCAGATAGTGTGGCTTTATATTCTTCATTCCATATTGGACCATGTAGAGTAGGAGGAAAGTAGGCAGAGGGATGTGTTTTACAGTGGTTTTAATTCATGCTAAAGGACAGTGATAGAATGAAGATCTGTATGGTGACATTGTTGCCTGCATAAACCAAAAAACCAAACTGACTGCCGTAGAGTTGGAGCCGACTCATAGCGACCTTTCCTTGGCTTTCCAAGGCAGTGTCACTGTGGAAGTAGATTGCCCAACCTTCATTCTGAGGCTTTGAACTGCCAGCCTTCTGGATAGCAGGCAAATGCCTCAGGCAGTATTTCTCCAAATAACTTCTGGTAAAACTATTTAAGCTTCTATTCAGGCCAAAATACACAACAGAATTACAGGCACAGCCTTAGAATGAAACAAAACGGTATACAAGTAGAAAGTGGCTGATAGACATGTGGTAAAGAGAGTTCTAGTCAGCCTCACAGGATCTGAAGTAAAGCTGGTGTTGTTACAAGAGAGTGTTGGTGACCAGACCTTCCTCCTGAGGGGTGGCTGCACTGACCTCATTTACTGTCCACAACAATGGGGGCAAGATAACACTCTTAAAAATAAGAGGTGGTGCAGTCCCTAAGGCATTTGGCTACTAAACAGAAGGTTGATAGTTCAAACCCACCAGCCCCTTCATGGACGGAAGGTGAGGCAATCAAGTTCTATAAAGATTCACTGCTTTGGATACCCAGTGGGGGTCACTATGAGTCAGAATCGAGGATGGCAGTGGGTTGGCTTTCTGAATTTTGTATGTGTATTAAATTGCATCACACAAAATTTAGAGAAAGGATGATTTGTAAAATGATTCTTAGGATATAAAGTCTGAAAACATTAGCCTGGATACTAGACTCCTTAAGGATGGTCACCCTTTTGTTCCATTCCTGGTGAAATCCATTCTTGATGTATTCTAAGAGTGACTCTACATTAAAGTAATGCTTTAAGTAGAAGATGTATGAGAACTATGCTTCTATTATTTTTACATTTTTATTATTAAGCAAATAAAGAAAAGAACAAGGGTGAATGAGCTGTCCTTGCCTGCTCACACTCTTCTCAAATTAAGACATTAAAATTGGAGAGGTTTGACAAAAACAATAAGTTTTTCAGTGTTAGTCAGTGGCTTACCATTCTCTTCTGATTGAGTACTGTAGGAAATGAAGACTCCTGCTAAGACACAGAAAAATGACAAGCCACTGATGTTTTATACCCCTGGATAAGTAGGATCCAGTAAGAGTTGAATGTCTGGGCAGAGGGTCTCAGATCATTAACATAAAAAGTTCTTTGGTGCCCTGTGTCATGACCAAAGTATCAGGCCAGTTCCCATCACTGGGTACCTGTGGTGCTTTTCTTAAATAATCAGTCCCATTCAGACAGAGATTTTAAGGTCCTTGATCATCTTTCTATTTCACAGGCAGTAGTTTTTAAAAGCTAAATGGCAAAATGATTTTGAAGTAAGGTTTAGAAAAGAACTTGGTATATCCCATGCTCCCAGTGGGGAGACAGAAGTTCAGTCCTGACAGCATTGTACTTGGGTATTCTGGGTAGAGGCAGGTAACGCTCACTAGGGCTCCATATTCCAGCCTAGGAAGGTCAGAAAAATCATGTGCATGTGGGTGACTTCCTGAATCCTAGAGTTTGGAGTGAGACAGAGTTTTCCTTGCCTTAACTTTGACCATTCACCCTCAGATATGGATACCCTAGGACTTTTTTCCTTACCTTCTTTAAACTTCACAAGAGCATGAAAAACCTAGTAAGTAAAAATCAAGCCTTGTTGGTGTTGAGTCGGACCCAACTCATAAGGGCCCTTCCTTGGGTTTCCCAGGCAGTATCACTAGGGAAGTAGATTGCCCAACCTTCCTTCCGAGGAGTGGCTGGTGGGTTTGAACCGGCAGCCTTGTGGTTAGCAGTCAAGTGCCTTAGGCACTATGCTACCAGAGCTCCTATATATATATATATATATATATATATATATATATATTCCCTAAAAGTGAATTTTCAGAATTCCAATTAGAAGATGTGCTTCACTGCCATACTCTGCATATGCCCCCAATGAACTCCAGGAGGTCACAGCGGCAGAGAACAACTTTCGAGATTCCAAAAGCTGGCTCTTTGAAGAGTTATTTTTAACTGGAAGGGAGAATGTAGGCCTCACAGTGCCGGCTGGTGTGTCCTACAACGGAGATCTAAATTGGAGGCTTGTGGGGATTTGATTCAAGGCACAGGTCTCAGCGGGGCACCTCTAGCGACTGTTCTAAGAGAAAGTGGTTCTGATGATTGGCCCCGCAGTAGTTGGGGGAATGACCAGCGACTCCCCGGGGAATCCAGCTAGGTGCCCCGGGGCCTCTTAAGTTCACATTGTGTCTGGGTCTGGCTGTGCTAGAGCAGAAATCTCAGAGCCGCGCGGTGTCCAACAGACAGTCCTGAGGTAAGGAATCTCCCAGACTCATTACAAATCATGATTCTTTTTGAATGTCCCTAACTTGAGCTCTTAAGATACATTTCAACCCAATTCTTGCAGATCAATATCGAAATGTCATCCTGCAATGTGAACCACTCCGGGCCAGGCACTGGCGAAGGGCAGACTTGGAGAGGTAATAGCAGGAGTTGGGGAAAAAAGAAATGTCCTGCGCCGCTCTCTGACTCGTGTCGCGAGTCTGGGCATGCCAAGGAGGCCCTCGTGGCTCCCCAGACCCTGAAGTGCCTGGCCGTGGATCTCACTGGATCCGGGAGAAGTTGGCCTGAAGGTCGTGCGCAGGACAGACCGAAGCGGGGGAGACCAAAAGGGCAGGGTTGGAGGAGGGATGGTGGGGGCGGGGCAGAGATACCGAGACAAACAATATCAGAAATCGTGACAGAGATACACAAGTTAGAGAGAGGTAGAGGGAGGCAGAAGGATCCTGAGGGACAGAGACTTGGACCACAAGGAGGGAAGGGAGAGAGGGAGAAGAGAAGAAACAGAGACAGCAGAAGGGAAACATTGAAAATGAAAGAAACAGAGACAGACATCCAGCGAGAGTCCCAGCAGAGAGGCTGAGCCTTGGGGAGCGAGGAGGGAGGGCGGTCAAGGCTGGAAGTACCCCTTCCCTACTCGTGCGGCTTCTCTTCACCCCGGCTCCTCCTCGCGCACCGCCCAACTAGCGGCGAGTGGCCGAGCGCGCAAGGTCGCCCAGTCCTCTCGGTTGCGGCACACTGAATGGCTGGCCGCCTGCTGCGTCCCCGCCTACCGCCCGGCAGCCACAAGTCCGCGGCGCCCAGTTTTCGCGCCCGAGGCGGGCGGGGGCTCCCCGCATTCTCCGCGCTCACGCGTGCACAACGCGCCTCCCGCCACTCCCCTGGCCGCTGCAGTCCTCTACTCGTCCACCGCGGAGGGGGGCTGCGGCCGCCAGAGATACCACACTGCAGGAGCCACTTCTCCTCGCGGCCTCAGCCGGTGGAGAGCCTGCAAGCGGGATCCAGTCACACGGGGTACTAATTAGTCTTTGAGGATTCGTTCACCCACGTGCCAATGTAATTGTCTGTGTCGGGAAGGTTGGCGTGCCTTGCCACAGCCCTGAGGAGAACCCACCATCACAGTTGCGCCCCGAATTCCAGCTCGCTCCAGAGCGTCCCCCGGAGGCGGGGCATGATCGCGGTCATCGCCCGCAACTGGGCTCCAGAGAGGCTGCCGGGCTTCCAAGTGTCCAGCAGTGAAGCGCACCTGCTCTGTGCTCCCGCTGCCTCCCGATTCGCGCCACCCTACCCCTCCCGCAGAACCTCGGCCTGCCTTCCACTGCCGGGTAGCTTTTTTTCTTCCGAAAGGCCAGTGTCCTCTCTCTGAAGTTCAAGTCCCGAGGACTTGCCCAGTCTCCTCCCCCTAAGTGTAAGTCATCGCCATCATCCGCTGGCAGCCGCGGGAAGCCGGGAGCCCTGGACTGCTAGTCCCAGTACCAGCGGTGGCACTTTCAGACCGTCCGGCGCAGCAGCCAGGCGCGTTTTCCTCCCTTTCTCTCTTTCTTCCTCTTTTCCCTCCCTCCCTTGCCTCGTAAGTTTCCTGCACCGTAAATCCAACTGTGCCAAGCCCAGGCTCCCGCAGAACCAATCCTAAGCGCGACACAGGCACGGGACGCCAACTCTGCCGAGTCTGGACGAGACAGCCGGAACGGTCCACGCAGGAGCATGGAGACGAAGCGCCAAGGAGGGCACGTCCGGGGCGCCGGAGACGCCAGGCCCGAGTAGCTCCTCCATGGAGCCTGCCCAGAGCGATTCCTGCTCGCCTGCTTCGCCCCCTGTCTATAGCGGTACGTAGCCTTCGCCTTCTCTGTCCCGGAAGGGACACCTTGGGGCTGGTGGTGGGGCGCGAGAAAGGGGCGACAGGGAGGGGCACTGGTTGCGGGCATAGCGCCCGCCTGGCTGGTGACCCTCATTGCACTTTGGAAGTTAACGTCTGAATGTGCCCCTTAGCTCGAAAAAAGTAGTGGCAGAGATGTAAGTACGTGTATGGGTGTGTTCAGGGGGCTCGAATGGGTAAACTGAGCCCCGCTTTCCTGTATGCAAATTGCATTGCCTTTCCCCACCCCCACCCCTCTGAACGTTTGGAGAAACCCAGCGCCTAATCCTGGTCAGCTCTACCTACCCCTTCTCCCTGCGCCCGCCTCGCTCAATCTGTCCCTCTTCCTCTCTCCTTCTCTTTCCGTCTTTCTCTGCTGGTGTGTACGTGTGAACCCTGCCAGGGCTGGGGAAGAACCAGCCGCCGCCTTTAGTCCGAGCTTCCCGGTCAACAGACACTAGGACAGGTCTAGCTGCCAGAGTCGCTCGGGCTCGGAACCAGCTGCTCTGTGAGTCCCGCCGTCGCCTGCCTCCGCCGCCCCGGAACTCGCACCGGAGGAGCGCAGCGTGCAAGGAATCTCTCACCCTCGCGCCTGCGGACTGTGCGCTCGCTTGTTGCAGGCGCTGGATTTACCGGCTTTTCGATTTTCTCCTATCCCCCTCCGGTGTTTTGGTCCACCCCTTCCCGCCACGACCCCCATTCCCCGCTTGGTCGCGAAGCCTAACCTTGCCCGCGTGGTCATGGGATGTCTAATTTCATTTGTATCTAGGCTGCTGAGAGAGTACCTTGCTCTGTAAAGTGGATGTCAGGTGGATCTATGGTTTTGAAGGAACAAAGACTCAGCAAAGGCACCGCCGAGGAAGTTTGAGACGCGGGAGGATGCAGGCTGCGTGCTGGTACGTGCTTCTCCTCCTGCAGCCCACCGTCTACTTGGTAAGTCTTGGCTGGTCCGGCGCCCCAGCAATGCCATCTCGGCAGGAAGGCGAGGCGACCGGGGTCGTGCGGAAGGAGGGTGAGGTCGCCAGTTTGGTGAGAGTGGCGTTCTTAGCGACCATGTTGGGACAACTTTGGCAAGCAGGTGTCCGGATTCCTACGGGATTTTCGGGGGTTCCCACCCCAGTTCTTGCTCCAGTCTCCTCTTTGCTGTGTGTTATTCAAGGGCACCCCTAGACTCCCAGAAACCGAGTAAAGAGTGGGAGAAGATGCAAAATGGGGAAAGGGCAAAGACACAGGGTGGGAGACAGGGAACTCTCAGTAGTTCACAGAGTTTAAATGAGAGGAAATGGGGGCGTTGGTTCAGGAGTCTTCCCGGGGCTGTGACTTTCAAGGAGAATACGCCCACTCACTCCCCCAGTTTGGAGATATGGCAAGTGTATAAGTATAGGTAACTTCTATCGAGTTTTAGGGTTCAGAAAGGATAAGTTTACCAGGTAGGAGCAATGCAAGCTGTTAGAGTTGGGTCAGTAATACACCCGGAAACATGTAGTGGCTACCCGCTCTTTCTCCTCTGAATCTCTTCTTTACACCAAATAATGGAACTTGAGTTCCAGTGCCAAGCTCCTGGTTGAGGAGTGAACAGGCCGTGTTGTCAGGGCGAGAAACCTAAGCAAAGCTGCCATCTGCGTCCTGGGGAGCGGGATTTTCGGGACTCTAGACTTTGCACACTCTTGCAACTCGGCTTGGGGTGAAGCACTTTGTTGCGGTAGCTGTGAGCTTCCGAAGTAAAGGAGGAGAGTGCCAATTCTAGGGTCCGGCTGCAGGAAGGTATCAGGACACATGTGCCCTGCTGGTGAGGTTGTTCCCAGTGTCCCAACAGCCATAGCCCACCCTTGGGTCGTGGGAGCGCACCGGGACCTCTGAGGGTTTTGGCTTGGGGCGAGGAGCGCTGGGGCTGCTTGAACTCTCTTTTTGGACTGGATAAACAGAAGGGGGGTGCTGTGGCGTCCCTCAGTCCTAAATGCTTCAGAACCCACCAGTCTGAGAGCAAAAGCATTTTCCAGCTGTTGCCCTGGTGCATGTAATACAGAGCTGTGGCCTCTGTGTATGTGAATGGGTAGTGTGCGTGTGTATATATGTGTAAATGTGTGTGAGTGTATGTGTGTGTTTAACCAGTTTCAGCTCCAATCCAAGAATCGTCAACGCTCCTTGTTTTTGCACCTTTATTCCCTGACCGTGACAACCGCGGACACCAGAGGGCGCTGCGCGTCAATGTCCTCGCCCACAGAACACCTTAGGGTAAACAGGTGAAAGCCGGGGCAGCCAATCCAAAAGGCAGCCTTTCTGACTGTGTCACTGAAGTCTGTGCCTTCCTCGGCTGGAATGCAGATGGAATGGAATAAGAATGTCCTTCCCATTTCTCATCTTCAGTCATTCTCGCCTCCACGTGTGTCCAGTAGACTCGCTGACACTGAGAGCCCAGAGAAGGAGAGCAGAAAGTTTGGACAGAGGAAAGACCTTGTTTATTGAGAGATGGTGGGGCGGAGGAGCGCAAAATGAAAGAGGCAGAGGAGGAATGCTTGTTAACTATTCCCTTAACCATCATAACCCTCTGCCCTTCTTCTCTGAATACTTTTACGCATGACCAGAACCTCAGGACTGTTCTTATGTCCTTTGGGCTGTGCTCAAACACACGGCGGAGACTCGCGGCTGTGATGCAGTTTATTGCTTGGAGCAAGTATTTCGATAGTCTGGAAAATAATCTATCAAAAGCAGAAGTGAAATCAATACGTTGTGTTAAATTTTAAGTGTGTTTGTTGGCAGTTAAGCCGTTTTCCACTCATTACAACAACAGTGCTGGATTTATTTTAATGCGCTGCGTTCTCAACAACAAGCGCATTAATTCTCCTTTAATTGTAAACTGGGAGCATTTGAAAACCATTCAGTGTGCAAATTATGCTGATTCAATTACCGTTTAGTTACAGACTTCATTACCTGAATGCCTTTTGGCAATACAGAGAAAGGAGACAATTTTTTCAATTTCACTCAAAACAATAGGAAATGTGAACAATAAAAGAGAGAAGGCGATTTAGAAGTCCGTTCTTTTCTCGCCGAGCTGAAGTTGTTTTGTGTATGGGGATTAGAAACCATACGCACCACAGAAACAAAAGGCAACTGGCCGGGACCCAAAGCGATATTTCCAGGGATTGTAATCCCACAATTATTTGCCATCAGAATACGAGCTGTTTTCCTGGTTCTCCAGGATGCTGACTTTTATTTTGGAAATGAATTTAAAAGGTTGAATTAGTCATGTAAGGATGGCTTTGGGCTTGTAAAGAAGCAAAGAGTCTTGATTGAAGCTCTAGGGCAAGAAGTTAGAGTAAGAAGTGGTCAAGATTTCTTTTCTGTATCTATTTCATTGACCATCACACACACAAACTGAATTGATCATTACTTTGTAGCTTCCTCTGGGAACATCCTAGCACTTTGCAAGAGTCTGCAATAGATGCATGCAGGTTGTCAGGAACTGCTTCAAGTCATACTTCAGGAAGGGAGAGGTGGCAAAACCATTATTTTATTTTATTTTTACCCCCTGGGATTGACATAAACTAGGAAAGGAGTTTAATGAGTAATTTTTTTTTCTTTTGTCTTTATGAGCTCACACCACAGGTTGAGTAACTGGAGCTCTCTGTTTATGCCTGGCCTCCTAGCTGATACCTCAGTGCACCCCATTCATTCCCCGTAAGCCCCTGAAATCCTAGTTAGGTTTCCCAAGGAGTAACCACCACGTTATAGCCAGGGCACAAGGTTTGTTTACATATAGAGAAATCTATGCTTTTCCTTCTAGAGAAATGCCTGAAATACTGCCAAATTTGGGAAGAATTTCTTATGAAAACAACTTTTTATCCAATAGATTAATGTTCCATACTTAAGCTATAATTTCCTGCCTGTATTTGAATGAATATTCTTAAAGTATGTTTCTTGACAAAGGGGTCTTTGAATGCATTTTCTAAGTTGAGGATTTTGAATCTCTGTGTTTATTGAGAGATGGGTCTGTCTTAGTTCAAAAACTAGGATCTTATTTTCATATTGCAATGGGAAGTTAATAGAAATGTATCTTCAAAGTTATCTTCTGGAGCACATTTGCCAGAATACTCAAAAATCACCACAGGTCTAACTCCAGCCATAGATGGAGGGGGTGGGAAGCCATTTTTTAAAAAATAAAGGAAAGGAGATCTCCTAATTATTGAATGCTTTGTATTGTAAATTTAAAACCAGAATTCAGTAGAGGAGGAACCTGTGTCTTAATATTGTTTGTTAAAAATTAAAACATCCTGCAATCTTTATTCTCCTTCAGTTCTGGACCGATTCCTGGATATTTTCAGTATGATATAATGGGACAATAGGAGTATAGTTCTTTAACTGAATTGAAACACACCCTGAATAAATGATGCAAATGCAGTTTCTGGCTCTGGAGGATGGGGTCCTAACTCGGGTTATTCTCAATGAATCAAGAGAAGGATAGGCCTCAGTGCAGGGAGAGCATATTCCAGGAAAAGAAGGCCTGGGAATCTTGTTGGTGAGCTCACTTGTAGCAATTTTCAGAGTACAGGGGTCTAATGAGTACTTCCTGGGCATTTCAATGGAAAATGTACTCAGAAATTGAGTCCAGAGAATTTGACAAGAGTTTGAATGGCATTATTGTGGTCAGTTACTAGTCCACATCACTATTCTTACGAGAGAAGGCCTCTTAACCTCCAATTTAGGTCTGGCTGGTTCTCCTGTTAGGAATGAAAGCAGCAAGTAATCTAGTTACTTTTTCAACCAAAGTGGGTGAGAAATGAAAATTCTTTCTAAATCTTGTTCTTAAATACATTTTGCACCATCTATTCCTTCAAATTTCAGATGTCCTTAAAATGTGAATTCTAAACCAGTCATTTTAATAGAGATTAAAGAGTGATTAATATATCCACAGAAGCACTGCCTCTGCCCTGTTAGAAGCCTGACCATTTGGGTGAATTCCACAAACTATGAAGGTGGCTGTTAAGGGATAAGGAAACTGTGGGAATAGCAGAGGCAGAGTCAACTAATGCCTATCCTTGGGACTAGGTATGTGTACTTCCCATCCTTTGAAAATGAAGCCAGCTGCTTACTGAAAATTTTAATCAGTTTAAGTTTATACCTGAAAAGAAAAGGACACATTAATTTCCTCACAGTGCCTAATAAGTGTTCTCTATTAAGGCCAGTTCTTGGAGGTAGCACTAAAAGTTGCCCAAACTGGATGAACAATTTTCTGACCTCCAAGGAGCCAGACCCCAGGGGCAACACAGAGCTCTTCAGTCCCAAAACTTCTTCCAGAGCTCTGTGTTATGGAGAAGTTGCTGTATTTCCAGGCATTTTCCTGAAACATTCAACTCACCTTTGACCAGGAAGTCACTCCCATGGGGTCGTTAGCAGCAAAGGCATTGGAAGCCAAGTGCTTGTGTGGGTTGCCCTTCTCCCTCATTTTCAGGAGGATTATTGTCGCCTGGGGCCTTCTAGTGATAGCTTCGGGGAAACTGTCGTCAGTATTAGAAGGAGAAAACCAGAGAATTGCTCCAACTCTCTCTGAGCGGTATTTTCCGGGAAAGCCATTAAGGTTGTGGCTTGTCTTTGTGCGAAGTTGATTTTTGTTTGGCTTTGAATTGTTGACGACTCTCTCCCCTTTAATGAAAGTGTTGTCTGGGTGAAAATATATCAGGCGGTAGGGAGATTGGCTGATTTTTTTTGAGATAGGTGCCCAATGTACTACTTCTCTATCTGAGGGAAGATTTTCTGCAGACTACAGAAATTGACAGCATTGTCCGGGTAATAACCACCGTCAACAAAATTTTCAAAAGGGCATTTGTGTGATGAAAGCGTTTGGGTATTGCTTTTTTCAGATAAGCAATTTTCTGTCTTGGGCTCCTTTGATTTTATATGGAAGGGGTGGGGGAGAGGAGTGAGGCCGGGTGGGG